TTAGATTACTCTCATGCATACGTAACCCTTTAGATAAATATCAACAATTGAGTATCGGCCGATCCATGTACAATGAACATATCCTGCAAATCGCAGTGTATAATAATACCCCTGCTGAAGTGTCTAAGAATGATTACCTTCCACCAACACTCAACACCATTTTAAAACTTTTTAATCACAACAATCCATGACATGTATTAGGAGCGGTAAATATCAATAACACAAGGAAGCCCTCCATCGATGGTCACCAGTGGACTGATATCACTGATTGCTGAATTCACGAAACATTTTCCCTCGGCGTGTCAGCGGGTATTCCCACATACACTATGGATACCACTGAATATCGAGCGCACATTTGATATAACCATTTATGTACAACACAAATGATCGGCCAATTTCCGTGCAGTCGCTTCCACATCGATTCAACTTGACACTCGATTGACGTGCGAATACTCCCAGAAAGTGGGTCACAAAATCCGAGAGATCCCATTATGTCTTATAACAGATGTGAAAAGTGGGTGTTTATTTTTTAATGATTGTTTCTTGGCTCTGTTGTGGGTAAAACATTCATTACTGAACATTCCCGCTTTTCAGTAAGGCTGTGCAAAATGCCGAGACAATACCGAGGCGAGTCTGTCTCTGGAGCGAGACTTTTGGTGAGAGTCTCGTCATGTCTCGTCGTTGGAGATTTTTGTAAAATTACATGGATCACTTATCAAGATACAAATAATTGTGGAATTTAAGGGTCAGATGAGTCTGAGAGTGAGTACACGGAAAGAAATATTCAGTAAACATTACGAAACTCACAATTCACTCATCGATTACGGAATCGACTCAGAAAATTTAAGTGACGGTATCATAATTTTTCACAGGAGATTCAGATAAAAATTACAGAATGCTCTGGAAAAATTCCATAGCAGTTTCGTAAAATTTCCTACAACCACACTGATAGAATGATTCATTTATTCCAAACGAAATTCATTAACTATTAACGAATGGTAGAGTTGAATATGACCAAGTGAATATTCGTTAATAGTTAACGAATGGTTCACTTGAATGGCGAAAGTCAAGTCAAACAAGGCTCCTCAAATACACATTCGTTAACTATTAACGAATGAACATTTGGTGGGACCGAATAGACCCTAAACTCCAACCAAAATCCATTCGTGAACAATAACTAATCCGTTCTATCAGTGCACATTTCGCTCTGGAATTACGGAAAAGATACGTAATTTTTATTGAATAGATGGATTTGGGAAATTTCCCTGTCTTTCGAATAGGACGTCTTTCACCTCAATTTCATCAAACACCCCAGCTTAGTCACCCGTAAGTAAATACAAAAATTTAATCAAAAACAAAAAACATTGACAAAAAAACTGGGTGCGAACTGTGATTACCAATTGCGATTCTTGTGGATTTTACGAGCACCTCCTGGTACACATTGAGCGGTGCGAGGATTCACCCTCCATTTGGAAATCGAACTGTGAGGAAACGTGCGGCATACGAACATACCGCATGGAAATAAATAAACGCCGTCGGAATCGGTGAAGTCTGGAACGCCTGGGTGGAAAAAAAATAAAATAACGAGAGAGAAAATAGAACAAGAGATGGAGAAAATGGAGAGGTGGGTTGATGGTAGTTTCGCACAGAGCCGTAGCCCACGTATTTGAACGTTAGAGTCGACACTATGCCGCACGTTTCGTATTGATTTCACCCTTGGGCACTGAGTACATAATTGCAGCCATTTTGTGCAACACCAAACTTCTTTCTCAAATTTATTTAATTCATCGAGGAGTATTATTGTATTTCAATCCGATAGGGTCTCTAGGCATTTCTAGTGAACGTACGGTATTATCTACCTTTTGCTTCTGAATTCAAGTTTCAAATTGGTGTGTCAGGGTAACTGAATGTGGTTTAGAAAGTCCGAATATATGATTTTTAGAATGTTTTTGTAAGCATGTATCTAATATTACGTGCCGCATACAAACAAAAATCGTATCGTTTACCAAAATGCCTCAACTATTTTCTTATTGTAAATCGAACTTCAGATTTTTCTCTCAGTGTGGTAGCGTTTAGTTTGCGTTCTTTCGCTTGCGTTTCTCTCGTCGGAGCTGCTTCGTAACTGGCGCCGCGAAGTTACTCTATTTACAGGCTACTTTTGACGATAACATAACTGCTATTAAGTTGTCAGGAACGATCTTTCCTTCAAGTGTAGTCTCCCAAGTACTGCGAAGCATTCTGAAGCGGAGCAAGCGGAGAACTTCATCTCTGCATCTTCATCCGCTACATGATAATCTGGAAATTCCGGGGAATGCTCGTACTAGAATTTGTGAAGATACGCCGGGAAGAACCCATGTCCTGATAGTATCTGTGTTAGGTAATAATCCGCCTCATCATGACTGCTATTTAGCCACGCACCCACACACGGTATCACGCGGTGAGTCCATTTTCCATTCCGCGAGGTGTCCCACTGCAGCTGACATGGATGCAAGCTGCTTCGTTTCTCATCTGCCCTAAGCTCCGCATCGATCAGTCTATTTCATTTTCTTCACTGGTACAGGGATCTTCTTTCTTAAAATTTCAATAAGCATCATCCCTCGGATAACTTTCTTCCATGGTTTTCCGTGCAGTCCTAGCCCCAATGTCGTGCAGTTGACAACAGTACGACGGCCCATCGTAACACAAATAAATCGGAAGAGAGAAGTGGAAAAGGCAAGACAGGTGAATGGGGTGCGCATTAAACCGTAATGGCCGTAGGAAAGAAATATGAATAAAAAAATGAAAATGAAGAAGTGAATGAACCGAATTGACTACACATCTTCAAAAATTACATAATGAAAATTTGCCATCTAGGTGAAAGTCATTTTTAAGCCTTGAAAGAATCTTCAATCGAAGCTTTACAACTGGAGAGAGGTCATCAACCCTCCGAGCTTTTAATCCTCAAGCACCACAGTTAAATCCTTGGGTTTGTGCGTTTGAGTGTGTGGCGGGGAGAGCGAGAAGAAGGGATGTATAAATGATGGGCCAAACTGAGAGCCGAGAAATCGAGTGGAGAATCCCGGCAACCGTCAGGCCGAGGGCCGCCGCTTTTTACTCTACCTTCTCTACTTTTTGATTCACCCCACAACTTGTTTAAACTTTTTCCAATTCAGTAGAAGGACGGGAAAGGAGTGGAGGAGAAAGTAAGCAGATAAGTGGAAATTTTGGACAAAACTCGAGAAGTTTCATGCAGTTAAATGCGATTATCAGGGGGAGGGGGGGGGGCTAGGAGTCGAACAACAAGTGGAAAGGCTGAGAAAATAGTGTCATTAGGTTGCTGGGGAATTTTTCGCTTTCGTGAGCAATAATGCAGTTCATTCCGATGAATACATAAGAAAAAATCGCGGGTCTAAAAGTAGACAGATGGCCTACGACGGAAAGTTGTATAGGTTTGTATCTGCCAGGATATACGACCTTTCGCTTCTAGGAAACCCACCAAATTGACCCCAAAAAAGTAAAATATCTGGAGTTTAGTCGTCACTGCAGAAGCGACCTGTTGGTTTTTATACATGTTTTGCATTTAATCGGGAAAATCCCGAGAATTGTCGGAACTCTCCTCAACCAATCACAGTAGACTTCTGATGACGTAATATGTACATGACTGTGGGGAAAGCGAATTAGGAGAGCTTGACTGTATCAGATGAAATTTCTAGGACAATGATTGTTCAAATGAACAAAGGAACTTCGGTCTAAGAAAATCTCTAAGTTATTATCGGAAATATCTTAGTTTTGATGAAATTGAGAAAATTTCGTGTCTACTGCAGATATTTCATCTTACAATTATGAATTTTTGTATATTCGTCATAACTCGTTTGTTTTCGCTCCGGCGTGAGGGGAGGATGTCTGATCAGATCGCTCTCTCACATTGTGGGGCTGACGAGTTCGGGCTTGGACAAGTATGGATAAGAACTTTTTTTTCAATTCGGGAAGGAAAACTGTTTGAAGAATAAGATTTCTACCAATGGTCAAATAATCACACACAGAGAAAGAAAGTTTTTTAATTTTAGAAACTAGTTTCCAGCTTTTAGAAACCCTTCTTCTTAACTTTCATCCTTGGTCGGATTCTAAAATCAATGCTGAATTTTTTCTTATGTTTTGAAAATCGAAATTGATCCCCAGAATCGCCACTTGAGTATCTAAAGGACGTAAGTGGAATGTCAGACGTGAGGATGGGGAAGGATCACCTCAATTGAAATTTCTTGTCCCACAACAGTCCCTCCGCAGCAATAAAACCCCCTCCCTCCAATAAAACCCCTTTTTATTTCAACTTCAAAATGGTCCATTTAGCGCAAAACCCCCTATTTGTAATTTCTGTAGCCTCGAGATAATTCGATTTCGACGCATAGAATAATTTCTTGCATTCCGCACTCCTTTTACCGATTTTCTCGAGAGTTCGAAGTGTCGAGAAAATCTTTTCTACGTGATACCGAAAGAATCGTTGTGAAAAGCTTTCAATGGAATGCCAAAGGGTTCTCAACATAAAAATTATTGAGTTATCATTGAAGATAAATTTTATTCGAATGGAAATTTTTCTCAAGTCTGCTCTAATAACTATGACACTGAAAACAAGCATTTTATTACTGCGGTTTTTCCTGGCAATTCCCCTGACTTACGAATATAACCTTCAGGAAGAAAATTCATTGAAAAATGTAGAGGGGATGAAAAAAAATATATGCCTTGCAGCATCGATATCGGTGTTCCTTGAATTTATGCCCGCCGGGATAAATAACGCCAACTGCTTCTCACGATTCACGGCCTACCTTTATCATACACGCTCTCCGTATTTGATTTATATCTGCCATGAAAAGAAGAGGTAGAAAACGTAAAATGAACATAATACGAAACGGGCGGAAAAATATTTTGATATCATCATTTTCCGTTGTCATAAATTCTATTCGAATTTCTTGAATACTAATTCATTCAAATAACGATTACTGTATTCCACTTTTTTGCTTTTTCAGAATGCGCATTTCCAGTGAGATGGGAGGGCACTTGGTTCCAGAGTGGTGTGAGACAACCAATTCTCATATCCAAGAATACGCTTTCAAACAAGGGCAAGTGTTTGAGGAACGAGGGCGACAAGTTTCTCGTAGTGGACGAGTAAGTAGAGATTCATCTATTAAGATATACCCTAAATTGCACGTGATTAATATACCCTAAAGTTGATGCGACCGTTAATCAGCCATCTCTCCACGGGATAAATATTTTCAGTCTCTCCGATTTCTTCAAGATTTTGAGAGACTAAAACCAGTCAACCTGGGTCTCCCGTAACCGGTTCAACATCTCCCAGAGTCTTCGGTGAGAGACTCGAGTCTGTTTGAGTCTTCCCCAATGCGGTAGAGACTGGAGTCTCCCATTGAAAGATCGGAGCTTAGAATTTTCGGGACTGCATTAATTAGGTTACATGCTGAGATTACATAAATATAGGCTTCAAAAAATCGTATACTGAATTTCTTCTAGTGGAGCAAGACTACTCCCTGAGACAATTGGATATATAAAATCTATTTTGACTTGCTAGAAACAATGCACTACAGAATGGCTTTTTGAAAATTAGCATTCGATAAATGAGAAAGCCTTCAACCTCTTTATCATCCATTGTCGTGAACTATTTTCGGATTTGTCGTGCAACGCGAGAGAGTCAGCATCGATCTGCCAGTGGTGATTGGTTGCAGTGTGCCGCCTGGGGAGAATCAGAAGTTTCGCAGAAGCGAATAGTTTGTCGCGTGTGGCGGCCCTCGAGCGTATTCTGCCAGACGTACTGATTAAAAACAGGAATCCATTGGACTCTCCCTTTTTTCGCTTCTTTTTTTCATTTTTTCTTATTCTTTATCTTTTTTTTTCTTTGTCTCAAACCCTTTCTGTTCCGTTCAACTCTCTTATTCACCATTTTCTCATTTACTGCAAAAAAGTATTAGAAAGGCGTTGAGGAAAAGGAGAGGAGCCTCCTTGCTTCTCAAATGCCGCTTCCTCGACACAGGGAGCACCAAAGAAAAGATGTCTCGGGTGCAGTCTGCCCCTTTGGCACTTTTTCCGGATTCCGGTCAAATTTTTTGATGTTTGGATGTTAAAGAGGTTCACACGGATTGGTAATGGTATAATCGAATATTTTTCTGCGGAGAATTAAAGCAGATTCCTCTGGCATTGAAAAGACAGTCGTAGAGATCGATTTTTGGGGGATTTAAACGATTTTATTTTTGCAATATCGCTGAATAGGGTTTAGTCATGGCTTAGTCGGAGTTTAGTCGAAATTCAGTCGGAGGTTAATCACGGTTTAACCAAGGTTTCGTCAAGGTTTAATCAATATTCAGTGGAAGTTTAAACCAGTTTAATTTTAATTTAGGCGGTGTCTGTTAGATGTTTAACCAGGGCATATGGAGCTCATGTTAAACATTTCGGACAATTAGGGATAATCTCTTAATTAACTAAGGTTTCATGGCTGGTATATCTTTTTTTCACTCAATGTGTCTGATTTAAAATAAATTCAGTTCACGGAAAAGATTTATCAAAAATTATCTTAAAAAAAACAATTGAATTTCCCTGAGGTTGAACTTCAGAATCCCTACTAAACTGAAATTAAGGACAGAAAACCGAATATGCACTTTTTTGTTTTAATTCGATTAATCCATTCGGAACCAAATTGCTATCTCGTAACAAAAAAAATATACTTGATGTAGACCTGTACAATGGGCTACTTGTTTTAATAATTTGATTGTTAAAAACCCTACCGGTCTTACCCTTTTCAATATTATTCAACCATTTTTTTGGTGTATTTCATACGATCATCCGCAAAACCGATCGTATGGAAGGAAAAACTACCCATTGCTTTCGATTAGATAAAAAATTGTTGTTGAAAAACGAAAATTTAATGATGTTCCATGTCTACACTTTTATTTTACATAAAGAAGAAATTGAAATGAAATCGCCAACATTTTTCATCAAGTTCTTTCGGTATTTGAAAAAAGGGGTATGACCCCCTCTCCTTAATATGTAATTCTTCTGTTGTATATTTTTCCCATTTGATTTCAGTTTTGAAATTCAATCTGGGGAATTGAGTGATTTTTGGGAGTTAGTTCCACTCCCAAATGAATAGGAAGTTTATCTGATTTGAAAATATCTAGATCAATTACTGAAATTGAATTGTTTTACCAGAAACAATTATTCGCCCTAGTTCGAAGATTCCCATCACCAGCTACCATTCACTTTACTACCTTTTTTGTTACAGAAAATCGTGTTACAGATGTGTTGTCATACACGAAAAGCACGCCAATGTTTTGCAGTACAAAGAGAGTAAGTTTTTTCAATTATTTGTTTTTTTTATCTTCCATTTTTCTGTAAATTTTAAAAGCCATTGTTTTCAGAATTTCTGGATAAAGTTGTCTGTTGGTGAAGTTTGTAAAGTTTTCCAGGATTTGTTTTTTACATCTAGTTCATCCCACGGAAGTGAGGTAAGGGTTGGGGGCTGGACTGCTGAGGAAACATCCGCTTGTGTACGACATTTGATGACCCATTTCTGTTCAGTAATTTTGTAGATTGTTTGAAGAAGAAGTTTTCGCTGATAGAATTTTTTTGAGCCGTTTTCACATGACTTTTTCAATTGATAAATCAAAGATATTCCTTAATAATGGGCTGGGTCGAACTAGTTTTGTGTGCGTGACGGCAATATGAGTTCAAGAAAAAATTAAGTACAAAACTTTGGATTTTGTCCAAAAATGATAAGCTCGTAATACTGATGGAAAATTGTGCACTATATATTCAATTAGAATTTAACGTTCTTCGTTGATTTTTGACAAGAATTTGTAAAAAATCTTGGCAATGAGAGTGAAGTTGAAGTGATCTAAACTGACAGAAATAATTAAAATTGAACGTCTCATGTGACTGCACCACGTACCCTTATAGTTGTCCTCATTAATTCCCATAAAATTTATACCTTCCGCTAAGAACACGAACAATACGTCTCTTCGGCTTTAATTGTGTCGCATTGCGGCAGAGCACAATTAAATTATCATTTGCTTCTGATCTAAAATACATGTTCACACCCAAAGAAAAAAAGACTGATTCCATTCATTTTCGACCTATTTCAAGTCGAGTGTCTCAAACTTTACTGCGCTTTTCATTTTCGTGGTCAATGCAATAACGTCCTCCTTTTGGATCGGGAAGATGATGAAAAAACCTATCATCGATCTTTAGCGTATGAAAAATCTCACTCCAATAGCCCAGGACTTTCAAAACATAATAGTCTCTCCTTCAATCATAGTCGACCCATGGGTAGCAGTATCCTTCATTACAGGTAGCTGAATAACTGACTCCGCCTGCAAACCATTCAGAAAAGACAGGGTTGCATCGAAGAGAGAAAAATCGAAATTTCCAGAAGTTTCACCGAAATAACTGAACAACCGGGAAAACGACTCAGCTCAAAATCCAATTGAAATCAAGTTATGTAAAGACGCATCCATTCTACCCCACCCATTTTTCCCGCTGTCTTATCAATCGGCTATTCAATATATTATGAATTCAATTTTACCCGACTATCCCACTAAACACCAGTATTTAATTTACCTGTAGCCCAATTTACTCCCCTTGTGACAGCCTGTTATTTTGCATACTATTAAAATGGGATAATGATCACCATATCGTCCCAATTTGCTCCGTTGTCGAATTTCCCTCCCCCCCCCCCCCCAGTTATCCCTGTACAATATTATACTTGCTCCACTGTCTATTTAATTCATAATTTACGAATCAATAATTTGTATTACCGAGATCCTGAGTCTTCGTACCGAACATTTCAAGTCCCGATGTTTTAATGAGAGACTCTAGTCTCTACCGCCTTGACGAAGACCCGAACAGACTCGAGTCTCTCACCAATGACTCTCCGAGACGCGAAACCCGTTACGAGAGATCTGGGCAGACTAATTTCAGTCTCTCACGATCTTGAAGAGACCCGAGAGGTTGAAAATTTTCATTCCGGAACATTATGCAGATACATTCACCTCTTAGGTACTGATTTCTGACTTTCATTGAATAATTGAACTGAAATTCACAGTTTCCATAGATTTTTTCATAAAATTGTGAAATTTCAATGAAGACATTCCTCAGAATTTCGATGGGAGTGTCTTTAGCTGAAACTGACCATGGAAATTGAAATGCAAAAAGTAAATTAAACAAGAGAAAGAGAAGACTATAACCCCCCGCGACTTTGATAAATCGTTGAAAAATGCGTGCTGGATAGAACGTCGGAAAAGGATGGCAGGTAGCTGGATAGCACTCAAGTCCCTGGAGTATCAAATACTGTGGAGAGAGTGGGGATGGACTCGCAAGTGGCAGAGAACGTCCACTCGCTTGACGGCCTGCCAACCGTGCGGTCCACTCCACCTACCACGTACCACGAATGTCTATATACCATGTACGTTTCTTCATTTTTCCGTTCTCCAACTATTTTTCATCATCTTTTTATACCATTTCGTTTCCTCTTGCTTTTATATTAATGAGTGAAATGAAATATTAGAAATTGAAATGAAAAACAATTAATTGACTTTTTGTTGAATTAAGTTGGTTGGAAGCCCAAGATCAAGGGTAGCGAATTCGGCGTAGGGGTAGTGAGAAGAATAACGCGGGAATCAAGTAATTGTTGATTCGGTGACAATACGACCGCCATGACCGTGACTGCTTTCTTTTCGAGCTTCACTCTGTTGCGATGCGCTCGACGAGGATGTTTGGATCATCACTCCTCGGGCACACGTGCATGTTGGTGAGCACGATAAGGTGTGGGTAAAAGAATTTTGCTTATCTCCACCGTTTTCGACTCGCGAAATCCCCCGGAAAATGATGAGCGAGTCGAATAAAACTGTGCATAGAAATTTTCTTGTATGAATATGTTGAAAGATTCAGTTCACAACAATATTTTAGAGGGAATCTGCGACCTGGTGCACTTTCTGCCGACTGAAGGTTCTCCAAGTGCTTGTAGCTGGTGAGTGGTGATACAGCTCATGGTGATCCATCGAATCGAGCTTACTAACTCGACCGACCGAGGCAAATTTCTACTAGAGTACTAGAGGAAAATATAATAATTACGTTTTTTTTCTTAATCATAGGTGCGACGTTCTGACAAATATTTTTACTTTTTCAGGCTTTTGGAATTAAAACGCTTATCCTGGATGTTTATTTGGATACGACTTTCAACATCGATACAGGCGCAGTCAAAATAGTCTGTCCGTCTTTTGTGCATGTGCTTTTATTAAAAACAGTAGTTAGACGCTCTTTCAGGCTCCGTCAGCGATACATATTCTACAAAAATCCAATATATAATGAAGAAATAATGGAACTTTTATGAAACATTATTTAATATATTTTCTAATAATTTGGGTTTGTTTCGATTGTTCCAGCATTCTGTCATCCGAGAAACTCCTTAGCACTGCTGTGTTCATACATAACCGGTGACGCTTTACTGTACTCAATGTTTCGTGAAGAAGCAACGGCAGTGCCTTGTCCGTTCCGTGGCCCAATGACATTCATGTATAATCGCGGCCACGGCACTTGTTCTAATCCACTGAGCAATGTGGACACCTGTACAGACGATAGTAGATTACTATTTAGGTATCAGGCTTGTCCGGATGTACCTGCTTCAGAAAGTGCAGGTGAGACATTCAAGAAAAAGTTCCAGAATTTACATCTTTGTTTTATTTAATTCAGGAGTGAGGTTTTCTACGAGTCACTACAAATATAATATTTGTATTAAAATACTGAATTATCACATGGTACGGGTCGTGCGTAACTGACAGGACAGGTGTCCGATGATTTGAAAGAAAGCCTCGGGGAAGTTCTAGTGAATTTGTGATTAATGATTTCACTACTCAAGCCGTGTGTGGCAATTTCCAAGGATTTCTGTGCTAATAACTTCTTAAGTGTTATAAATTTCAGCTGAAATACTTAGTTAAAGTTAATGGAATGCATTTTTTCCTAAGCAACACAAACAAGATTCTATCCGTCCAAAACCGTTGGTCATTCTAAAAGAACACTATTTATGCAAGCAAAAAGTATGTAATCAGCTACACTGTTTGAAAATTACTCCAGAAATTTCAAGTAAAAAATCTTGAACTTTTTAACGATCCCTCATTCACAGGAAATTTGTATTATTGAAAATTTAGTTGAATTCTGGAGTATTTAATGAAATGGCAATTTTCAGGTCCACATGATAATGAAAATTATTAAACAATTTGAAAATTCAAGCACCGATTCCCCTGAACTTGTAATCCACGGAGAATTTAGTTGGATATGATATTTAATTTCCGCAAAGAATTTGGAAATTCTAGATTGTAGTATAGTCATTGTAATATCAGTGATAATTTAACATGGAAAACCCAATTGTCCTGAATTTCCAACCAGAATGAGCGATTCCGTGTACGACTTCATCTTAAATTGAATTCAAATTCACAGCATTGAGAAGTCAACTGGAACTATTGCTTAGTGGTCAAAAAATTTCTAATAGTGTACTTGTTTTTCTAATTCTAGAATGTCATTTATTTTCAGTGGAGGAACTGGAGTGCCTGGCAACGTGGAAGGAGGGTAGCAGTCGTTACCTAGTCGGTCGTTTGCATCATGGCCACGCATCAAGTAATGAGGAGCGTTATAGGTGCTTCGTTTACGAACGGGCAGGACAAAGTGTAGGAGGTATGGGCAGAGCTGTTCTCGGAATGGCGACCATCGACCACGAGGTTGGGATGCCACCGAGTGGACCACTACCAGAGGGTACACCCGAAGTTTATCGAGTCGCCCAGAGTGGTGATGCTACCTGCAATGGCCTCTTCAGTCCCATGGAGGGATCACGTACAATGACCTTGACCAAAGGTTAATTTCATTTTCATTATGACATTAGTGGAATTGCAAGATAGTTTTCTTCCCGGGAAGTTGATACAATTTGGAGGTAGGAAGAGGTTCGTTGCATAGAGAAGGGGATTGCTTATGACGAATTAGAATAGTCTCCCGACATCGGTCTCATAATTAAAGTGAAGGACACACACAGAATTCGTCTTTTGACAGTCGTCTCATGACTTTCATGACGAAAGTGGCGTATTTCGTTTCTCGGATTTCTGTTGTTTTCGACGATCGTCGGTATAACATAGCCCACGTTCCTCTCTTTTTAAAAAAGAAAAATCGTACTTTATCGTTCAGTTATGATAAAAAATAGTGTGTCTATCTAGGAAAGAAAACAGGACATAAAAACACGCGTGTTTACCGCCGTCGGCCTCACCTCCATACGCGAGTTGGAATGTCCGGTTTCCCCCCCGTTGAAGCACAATCTACTATTTTTCCGTGATTCGTCAACTTTGGAAGAATTATCGGGACTGCATATGAATTTCCAATTAATTGAAAGCCCTCGGGTTTTTGCTTTTTTAGGTTTCATCATTTTCAAACACATTTGTTTTTTCCATTTCCAAAAATCCCGATTAAGAACTTCCGCTGCGGAAACTTTCCAGTTTCCACAATTTTGTCATGCTTCCTTCTTATCTCTCAACTAAAGAACACCGAAAAAGAAAAACTGTTTTTCTGTAACCCTCCTGACACATTGGAGTAGACAAAGTACAGAAGCGATTTTCTCAAGAGTGCGAATTCCGTGGCACCATCTTTCCTCAAAGATTTTATCGGTATAATCCGAGACTTTATCACCTCTGAAGTGAGACGAGCCCGAATAAAATGAGAAAAAGTGCGTTTGGGAATAGAACATAGCAGAGAAAAACAAAATTTTCGCATCCATAAACTAGGGGATCTTCGTGGAGGGATAAAAATCGTGGGACGAAGCCGGTATAAAGCGAATGAATGAAATAAATAGGTATAACTTTGTATTTTTTCTATTTCATGTTACAGCTTCATCGCCGGGGAAATGCCGATTTCCAGGATGGTTAACTGGTCACAATAACAATGGCCTCACGTGGCATACTCTGGATCTTACAAGATCGTACACATTTCATCCGAGGAATGCAAGTTTACATGTAACAAGGTCGAATGCCACTAGATACGACATGGCATTCCTAGACTTTCAGGATATCATTGATGGCCAGGAGGAACAGGAGATCAAGATACTCTGTAACAGTATTAAACAGATGAATCCAACGCAAACTACGACGATGATTGTTGCACATTTTACTGTTGGATGGTGAGAAATTAATACTTTCGTCTATATTCACTTCATAAATGTCAGAGTACCACGCATCTTAAACTATTTGGTTGATCGAGACGCGCGGTAGCGTATCGGTCAAGAAAAAATTTTGACTCCGACTGTATAAAACATCGGGCCGAACGTATCGAGTATTTTTACACGATAGAACTTCCCTCTTCACTACCTCTAAATGATTAGCATTCGGTATGATAAAAATGGGACGATAAATCGGAAAAGTGTTCTTATTTACGTTATATAAAACGCCTATGAGCTTTTCAACGGGGTAACTGTTGTATTTTTTGGATTAATAGTGAAAGAGAACCACCGGAATTTGTTTTTTCCACATTTTAAATTACTGCTTAGACTGGAACGAAAAATTAATTCAGTGATCTATATTGTGAAAAAACAAATGAGTTGAATTGAAAAGAACAACCCGAGTCAAGGATTTGGCTCTGATTGGACGTACACAGGTCTTTCAAGGTCTCTCCAGACCTAGATTGACCTGGCTGGTAAGTCCTAATTAGTTTCTGCGACGTAGTTTTCCGGAGACGTTTCGAATCCTCAGGTCTTTTCGGCCCTGAGCAGTCATCCTCTATACTACCTAGACCTTGGGATTTCATGAGGGGTGGAGGGGGAAGGCACGTATGCGGAGGGTTGAAATTTGTCCCCAACAAGGAGAGAGGGTTGCAAAATATTTTAGCCACCCTCAACTCTCCGTTTGCATGCGGTGTTTAAATAAAAAAAAGTGAACGTTGATTCTGTATTTATTGACCCCCCTGATGCCAATGTAATCCTCGGAGGCACCAGAAATGTGGAAATAAAAAATTTTTTGTTTTCACCCGGGACCAAAGTGTCAGATCGTGGATTTTTGTCGGGGGAAAGTTGACTTTCCCCAAAATCGCATTTTTTCGCCAAGTGAATGTTGATTCTGTATTTATTGGCTCCTGTAATGTCAATGAAACCATCAGAGGCGCCAGAAATGTCTAAATAAAAAATTATTTATTCACCCGGGGCCAAAGTGTCAGATCTGGGATTTTTCCCGGGGGAAAGTTGACTTTCTGTGTCTAAAATTAATCTACTCACATTTCATTCCTTAATGGTATTTAATTATTGTAAATGATTTCATCATGTGCTTTAGGACATATTATGTAACATAGGAAGTTCTACTATGTAACATACTCAGCTGTACTACGTGAACATAGTAATTATTCCTGTATCGCACAATATAGATTATAAACCATCTCGATTGATAAAAATGGTTGTAATCGAGTTTTAGAAGTTACGCAATATAGAAACTGGAGAAATTTTTGCCACATGTGCAACTAAGCTAATGGTCTTCATCAAATTAAAACTCGATTCATGGTATTTGATTTTGAGTTACAACCGCAAAGGAGGATAGGCCGTTACAAACTTTTGATCAGAATTAGTGCATGATTTGTGCATTTCATTGAGCGCGAGTATAACTAGACCAGTGACTTGTCATTAAGCATTAAAATTTGCATTTGAAGACATTTCCGTCGAGTGCAGTATTCGGAGTCATGTGATACCTTCACGTCAGTGTTATTTTGATAATTCACCGGACTACGGATGCATTCAATGCAATACCGACTTATCATGAACACGATTTCTAACATATAGGATCTAAAATTCAGTCGATAATTACCCTAGTAGAAATTATGAGAGGTTCTGGGACATTGGCTGTTGCAGCGATGTTCACGCACGGAGTGCGCTGCCGTACTCCGCAGCTAGTTCGCTGCTGGACACCTATGCGACACTGACGCGATGGGTTCTCATTTTTTCATTTTATCGATAATAAGAATCATCAGTTAGTTGCGAGCGATTATTATTCACTAACAAATCGTTAATCGTTCAATAATTGATTTGAATTAATACGCATAATCTGCAGTTTGTGAATTCTTAATTGACGGGATTTAAGGTTGGGGCGGACACAGATAGGTAAATTTCGCATAAACCCCGCGCAGCCCTGTCTCAGCGACCCTGCTGCGTACCTTTGTGAGGTACTTCGCCGCAGAAGGCAATGTTGCGCGCCAACTTACGCCGCGACGTTTCTGCGTAATGAAATTTCTCCTAGGGTAGGAATCAATCCAGAACTAAGCAGGATTTTTTTGCTCATTTTCAGTCGGAGTGGATTCATGTGTATGACCTTCTATAGACGAGATGGTCATGTAGTAGAAGTGCAAACTGGCAGGCAAGTGTCCAGGGTTGAAGACGCCTGCAGTGCGCCGCATTCTCAATCTCACAGCATTCCCTACCTCACATTAGTCAGTAAGTGAAAATAATTCAATTAAATATTCATTCAATATCCCAATCGGCGATGTATTTTTCACATTTTGTTTTCAAATTAAATATGTCAAAATTAGTAATAATTACGGTTCCAAAGTAATTCCAAAGTAATTTGGAATTCTCCATTTACCATAAAACTCTAATAATTGGACTATTGAGCAATTTATTTCCAATCAAACACCAGTCACAAATTATTACGGACGATTCCAGAGAATTAATGAAATGCTCCCGCTACCACAAATTAAAATTCATCTGGTGTGATCACTTTATGCTCATTTGGTTCATTACAATGGCGAGATTTATCTCCATTTGAAAAGTCCAATAGTTTTGATGCCGCTTCAAATATGATTCTACAGGGAATTTCATATAAAAAACTAGCGATAGTCAGAAGTGTTGATGGGTTAGTTAGATCGTCTGGACAATCTCCGTGAAACAACATAGCATGTCGACTTATATTGCTTTGTTGATTTGGATGAATTGATTGCAACCCTACTATTCGTTTGTTGCGGTCCACAGATTTTTATTTCTTTTAAAGAAATTTTCCTTCGTTAATTTAGCCCATGTAAATTCCTGACGAGAGGATCTTATTCGTCCGGAGCTTTTTTCTCCAAAAAATGATCTACTTATGTTCCAAGTATCATTCAAAACAAATCTGAAATTTATGATTCTATCTCAGTGTAATTGACGGATCCTTTCTAATTGGAAGTATATCCGGCACCTTGAGTCAATTAATGTTCAATTGATGTTTCACTCATTCCTGAATTTTATGATTGTCGAGTGCTTGTTGTTTACGAATGCAAAAGCTCATCATTCAAAAAACACTTTTTTGCACTCGTTACGAAATATACTATTTCGTCAGAAGGCCCGTAAACCGCGATCTAACCGAGCGAAGCGAGCGAAGCGAACCACTTTTTCGTAGGCACGCGTAACACATCCTATTTTTTGTGATACCTACCGAGTTCACTGTTCGGAACCGTAGTGGGGGTAAAGTGGTTGCTTTTGTGCACGTTGTGCGTAAAACAACCACTTTACACACACTAAACGGTTTCGAAAAATGAACTTTCGAGGCAGGTATTACAAAAAAGTAATTTTTTTCCTCATGAAAACTGATATTTTCAATAAATCACTGCGAATCCTTTTGTCATCCTCTCCTCTGCCACAAACATCACCACCTTTCGCTCCCCAGCCACTTCAGCAACCCTAAAAAAGCCCCAAGTACCCAACAAACACTCGATCTTCCTCTTCAACTCAATCAGAACACTGAAAAAATATTGAAAAAAAATCCTGACGTTATAACCTACACATCGAAGCTGGCGATCGAGCAAGGAAATTGCTCGAGATATCGTTCCACTCGATTTGCCCCAGAAGAGAGAGCAAGACAGCAAAAAAAGGAACGTAAAAAAGTTTTACCGTCTGTGGGGTGCCGAGAGAAGATTCTTCGACGTGCTCGCGGCATTCCGTCCAATTCCCTGAAAAACTCGATCCCTCTTTCGGGCCAAGACACATCGAATTCGTTGGGAGAAGAGAAAAACGAGGAAAAAAGATCACCCGCTTCAATTCTCTCCACTCCTTTATCTCTTTTGCTCCGCGTCAGCAGAAATTCATATATAATTTTTTGGATCATCGAGAAACTGTCAAGTGTCAAAACGACTGATAAAACAGAAATGCATATTTATTTCATTGCAATATTCCTTTCAACAATAAAGAATAATGGGCTTCTTTTTTTTGCCGACTGCATCTTTTACCCGGTGGAGGGTGGAAAGTGCTGGTTGAAACGGACGGAGAGTTGTAATCCCCCAAGGAGTTATATTGGATTCGATTTGATCCACAGTACTGGTAATTCGTCAGAGGCACACGTCCAATCGTTTCCTCTTTTTCTATAAAAACGAGTTTAGCGATGTTATAGGGTTTTATATCATCGTCTGATTTGTTTTTCATTTTTGTACTTTCAAAATGTGCTTTCAAAAATTGATCAATTCACCCCCAAGTTTTCATTTTTCAATTTACATTTTTCCAAGTCCCTATCTTTCAATGAGAAACTTTAATCTCTATCGTATTGGCGAAGACTCAGATAGACTCAAGTCTCTTACCAAAGACTCTCCGGGACCCGAAACCGGTTACAGGAGATCCAGGCAGACTGACTTTAGTCTCTGACAGGCTTGGAGAGATCCGATAGACTGAAAATTTTTAACCCGGGGCAGCGAGGTAAAATGGGTGAGCCTAGCAAATACGATGGTAGGGTGAAACAGGAAGGTGAGGAACGATGGAACAGCCCGGGAATTTGGACGATGGGCAAATTTCGGGCGGGGGTGAAATAGGACAAGGTGAATTGGATAGGGGAATACCCCGGCTGTGGGGCAAGATAGAATAACAATTTGAAACAGATCTATCACTTACAGTACTTACAGATCCATCACAGTAAATAGCATCTTGTCCTGTTTAATCCGAAATTCATGTTTACACCCCACCATCTACTTTAATTCCATCATTCAATTTACCCAACCATAAATAAATATTCACCATATCCCCGCGCTGTTTAACGAGTTTGCTATCTGATTCACCTCCCTACTCCAATTCACCCCGCTATCCCATTTTACCCCATTATCTCATTTTACCCTACTGTCGGAGTAATTCACTGTTTCATTTTATTTTATTTAACCGTTACTCATTAGGACTTATAATCTGAAAAAATTTCAGATTTTTTGAAATTACTTTAGCCACTTTAGAAAATTTCAAATTTCACCGGTTTTTCGTTGCAAGGGTTAACTTGCCAACGCGGCCATCGCCCGAGGGCCTTCAGCCAGGGAATGTTGAATGTGGAGTGGATTTTTCAGTTGAAAATTCCGTGGAATATTCGGTTTGAAAATTGTGTTGAATTTTCAGTTGAATATTATGTGGAAAATTGTGATGAAAAATTGGTGTGGAATTTTGGCCCGTCCGGGGCTCAAACCTGGGAGCTTGAGGTTGTGAATCTCATGCTGCTACCAAGTGCGCCACACAGTCGGGTTATTCTACATCATTTCCAATCAAAATTAGTGAATGTGAAAGACGGAGGATTGCAATGCTTCCGATCGGCAGCAAAAATTGAATCTTAGGAAAATACGAATATGAACACCACGGAGATATTTTCCTGTTGTAATGTAGCTCATCGATCTTCCCTTTCCATGCCCTTTTCAGAGTCCACATGCCGGCGCTATAGAAGGGATGATGTAACACACATGAGCGGATAAATAGTACAAGCTCAATTCATCGAAAATATAATATTTTTAAATTACGAGATTGTATAGAATGCGCTTGTACATACCGCACACCCAGGGATGAGTTCGCATTGAGTAACACGGGGGCTGACCTCGACATTACAATTGCTGGTGCAATGGTGGATGATGCAATATAATTTATGCTTGTACACATATGTATTTTACGCAATTTCACGTGCTGGTTACTGGTTAATTAAATAGGCTGCAGACTACCCGCGACCAAAAATTTGAGTATTTTTGGGGTTTGCAATACTTGCGTCTGCCTCTGCGAGAGAGTATGGCTCAGCACCTTTAGCTATACGTTTGAAAGAATCTCCGAGAGAGACGTTGCAAGACTGTCGAAAGACTGCTGTCGAGTGTCTCTCTTACGCATCTCAATAAATAATTAAACGTCAATAACTCGTCAAAGTCTGAAATCAGTCTCACAATTCTCTCACCGATTACGGAATGGACTCAGACAATTTAAGTGACGGTATCGGAATTTTTCACAGGAGATTCAGATAAAAATTACGGCACGCTCTGGAAAATTTCCTTGACAGTTCTGTAAAATCTCCTATAGCCACATTTCGCTCCGGAATTACGGAAAAGATACGTAATTTTTATTGATTATTTTTCTCCGTGTGTGATAAACTATTAAATGTACGTGGATAGTAAAATTTTAAAGCAAAATACGTATTTTTCTTTAAGTAATAACAGAAAATATTTTTAGTTTTCTGAGAACGTTAAATGTGAAACTGATTGTGAGTTGGATCAACGCTGCAAACACTGTAACTTGATCCTGACGTGCCTCCGTGTATTTTTTTATTGCTAATAATCCAAAAAATACAATAGTTATACCGTTGCGAAACTCACAAGTAATTTATACAGGGTGTTTCAAAAATCTTCATACATATCGTGAAAGTATTATATAGCTTGGAGGGATTACTTGTAAAGGAAAAATTTAATCCTTTTCGCTAATCTGACGCTTTGTTAAGAAGTCATTCGGCAACAAAGAAAACATCCACTGCAAATCACCCTTCTCATGAAAATTCATGTCTCCCCAGTCACTTGTGATGAACGAATGAAATGGAGGTAATCAATCGGACATTTAAGGTATAATGATCGGAAAAAAATGGATTTGCTATCACCATAACCGGGTGCACAAACCCGCAATGAATTTCACTGCGTCGTAAAAGAGTCATTTGATTTCTCCACGCAATGTAAACCTGAAATCTCCACTATCATTTAATATCATTCATATCGCCACTCTCAGTTAATATCAAGGGATGAAATTCATTGTAATCGCACTGCAAAAAATAGGTGGCTGAATTTGAGGTATCTGCTGTAGACAATTTTTAGACACCTATGTGTTTGACTTTACAACACCTATTGGTGTCTGAATTCCTTAAAACATCTGAATATAGTGATACTACGATTTAAGTGACCCACCATAATATATTATGAGCATCTCATAATATTGGGGTTTTATGTACGAAAAAGTGAATAAATTCATCAAAGGGCGTGCAGAAAGTTTTAAGGGGTGAGAAAAAAACGAGAAAGCTCGGGGTAGAGGGGAAGGAGGCCCTCCAGACTCATTTTTCACAAGTTCGAAAAACACGCGGAGTATATGCGACAAAAATATGAGAAAGGCATGAGAGAGAAAGAGCCAAAGTGGAGAAAATAGAGAGACGTAAATTTGAATTTCTGGTCTGCAGAAGAGAATAATCGCGGCTGTCGTTTGCGAGC